CGCGAGCGCGCTTATTATATTTGCCATAATTGCCGAGGTCCCGATTCAATTTGATCGCAGTTGTAATCTCGCTAGACGGACTAATTGCCGACGGCGCGTATCTGAATTCGTGTATCTCTGGCAAACGCGCGAAATTGCCCCAAGGGGAAACGAGACCATGCGCGTTCAACGCGACTTCACTATCGTCGTTCTTTTAAAAGAGACGATGTCGAACGAGCGGTTGAGAGTTGCTGGCCGAACTATAATCCCATAGCCGGCGTCGTCATTATGTCTACATCGTGGGTATGCGAGCAGAGCTCGCCATTATCTCGTTTACGTCACGAAGACATTGCTCGCGTTCGTGGCCGGCGCAATTCAGAAAATCACTAAGAAATAATAAGTCAGCGCGGATCCTGGCTTGCACGGCCACCGAGCGTTCTTCCTATCCGGCCGATAGTAATTACCCCGGGACGTGTACGCGGATACATCGTCCGTTGGATCACGAGACGATTCCATCCCTTGCCACGTTGCGGAACAGGACCGGGCATCTTCTTTCCCGGAAACTAGAAACCAACGTTCTTCCATCAGATTACGATAAACGCGAGTATTCAGGGGAGATGATTTTGTGTGTAACAAGAATCGAAAATAGGTGACACGGAGTGCATAGGTGGTCTTCTGATCGAAAAGTTTGTGGAATTCTAAGCTCGGAGAAACGTAAAGAATTTCTTCTTTAGAGAAGCAATAAATTCTAAAAGTCGAATATACGAAATAGTTCTGATAATTATGGAAACAAACTGTCGAATCTATATATGTAAATCTATCTAGAATATATCTTAGAAGAGGAGCTCTAAATATAAGTTTTAAGATAAATTTCTGAATCCAGATCAAACAGATCGAAGCTTGCAACATTATACGTTATAGACAACTCGTATATGTACGTGGTTACGTAAGCGAAGAGGAGGAGACGAATTAATCGTGTATCGCATAATCGCCTTAAATGAAGCTAATGCGAAGGATCGTTAGATTCCTTTTTACGTTTAATAATGCTATGTTCGGTCCGTTAGTCCAATTGTAATACCTTCATTCAAGGGGATATGAGCAGATAAACGTTTGAAGCGCTAATAATTGAAGTGTTAGGATAGGTGTAATGTCAATAGCAGTCGTTCTTACTGCGGTTTCAGAGAAATCGACTCCATTTGCGGCTTTGCTGACCAAAGGCTAGACGTTTCACAAAGTATCTACTACTACTCACAGTTGTATTTCATCCGAGGTTTTATCCGAAACTGCGTTTCGTGTTTGTAAATCTTTCCTTCGCGTTTTGCCAGAGAAAAAACGACCACGTATATCTTTCGATGGTAGAAAGCTGCAAACAATTGCAATTAATCACGATATTGCATCATCGCTAATTTTGTTCAGCATAAAAGATTTTACATTTAACATTTAGCAATTCTATGACATCATAGTAGCTTGGATATCATTACAGCAATTATGAATTCTTTTTTTTATAAATGCAATAAATGAAAGTTCTAAAGTTCAAGCAGCTGATCAATCAGCGTCCATTTTTCTACCTCGCTATTTTTTTTAATTCAATGGTACATCCTTCGTTCTATAATTCTTCGAATTGTTAAATTACATATATAATCAGTTTAAAAAGTCTACGTGCAGCGATTTCTTGCGTTCGAATTACCAAAGAAAATCGAAAATATTTTATTTTTATATTTTTTTATATTTCAAGTTCGAAGGGTATGTATCGACTTCTGTAACTGGCTGTAGGCTGAAATTCGTAGTTTCTTCTAATCGTCTGGAGAAATCGTGAAACGGTTCGTGAGGCGGTCTGTCGCCGAACACAACGAATAATAGCCGTTAGGTCGTCGTTGCCGAGTTTTTACGATCGGCACGTCCGCCGTCGCAGGAAGAAAAAGAATCTGTGGCATAGGTGGTATAAGTGGGTCACTGTCGCTTTCAATTAGGCGCAAAACGGCGCGAGAAGAGATGGCTTCTTCGCACATTTGCCGGCGACATCTCAGACGAGCAAAAAGCAAACGACCCTTCGCAAAATCTTGTCTCTTACTTCCATCTCTTCCTTCCGTCTTTCTCTGTTCCCGTCTCCATTAAAAGACCTTTGCCCTCCTTCCTCAATGGGTCTCTAAGTTTGAGAAAGGTCGGTCAAACTCGTGGCTTCCACTTCCCTTCTAACCTAACGATATCTCGTTAAACCTTCCTACTTATTCGACGATCGATATTTGCTTCTCTGTTCGCTTTGATTTCGTTTCGCGTTTTATTATAGATCGATATCTTTTCAACTCTTACACGGTAATGGACAAAAGAAAGTTTAAAAGATAGACGGAAGGTTATTATAATTATAGAAAGAAAATTAATATATATTTGACAAACAGTGAATAGACATAATTCGGAATATTCGATGTAGTAGAAATTTCTCGGAAATAAGATTTAAGAAAGTTGTGTGTTCGTATTGTGAATGAAAATTGGCGAAGCCTACTTGTAGAATTTCAAGAAATCGGCGCCAACCGGAAATGATTTAACGGTTCAAGAATGATTTCCTCTGGGTAGACCCCAATCTTCAGACGTATTTCTATTCTCCTATGAAAAGAAAATTCAATCTCGTTCACGTAATATGTCAAAATGTCTCTTTATCTACAAAGAATATGTGAAAACCTGATATATGGGATTTGCCAAAATCAGTTCGAATATCACGATTCTATACGATTAAAATTCTTACTCTTCGTTAATAATTTTCAGTTTCCTGTTCGACTTTTAGTCTAATTACGATTTTAAAATCATATTTCATGTATAACATCGAAAAAGAAACTCGTTGCTTGATAATTACATGCATTTTACAATGCAACAAGATAATATTAATAATGTTTGACATATTTATACGAAAGTTGAAACGTGTCAGTGTACAAGTTAATAAATAAATGATCTACTTTACCATTGCATGCAAATATTTCACAATCTACTTTGAGTAATTCACGAGTTGCTCCTTTCGAAAGAAATGGATTGATGGACGAATCAAGGCCGGGTTAAGATTGACGAAGCGCCATGAATATAATCCCACGACTTCAGCCTCCGGTGGAAACCGACCTGGGTCAACGGGCTTCAATAGTATCTCGGCCTTGCAGTCGAATCTTTATCATCCTTTCTGTTCTCGCGCGTGTAACGGATTCGAGAGGCCCGGTACTCAGGTATCGTAATATCCCCTTGCTGATTTAATCTTTACCTTTTCATTCTCTCTTTTATCTTTATCGAGCGAAAATATATCCTCACGTTTAATCTGATCTCTATTAATTACGATATATGCAATCGTGAAACAGGTTACTTCTCGATTTTTCTAACATTTTATCTTGAAAATATTCGTAATTTAAAGGAAGTTTATAAGAATAGAAAATACTTAGAGAAGGGAAGAAAAACGAGAGCAACGCAACAACCATAAACACCGCTCCACGCTAAACTAAGAAGCTGCAAGAACTATCCTCATTTCCTGTCAGCTGACCGTCAACGAACGAGTTCCCGATCCGGTGCAAACCACGAAAACGACAATTCGAGCCGGTTCGTCAAACAGAGAGCCGCTACAAGGCTGCCGGTCGTCGAAAAGGGAAGCGCATCCACCGTTTCCCACGTAACGATTTAACAACATCCCAATTACTATCCCCGGGGCGGGGTGAGCGTTCCGCAAACAGGGCAAAGTCACAGCTACGAGCAAAAAGACAGCCTGGTAGCCAGAGGGCCGCGATCATGGTCTACGCCACTGGTACGCCACCGTTGCTTCGAGAGATACACTTTTTGTGGGTTTCTAGGCCGCTAAGGAGCGAATGAATGAACACGGCTCTTCGTAATCCATTCATGCTTCAAGAGGGTACACCCTTTCTCCTTCTCCTTCTTCAAGGAGATCGCTGGAACGAGAGAGCGAGAGATAGTCAGAGACCCTTCATCTCCTCGGGATCCTTCCTTGTAACTCGCGCTGTTATATTTTGTTTGTCTGCTTCCGAAGAACCCTCCGGTCCTCCTTCCTTCGTCTCTTTCGTCCTCCTCCTCCGTCTCATCCTCCTTCTTCTCCTCCTCCGCCTCCTCTTTCCCTTTTCTCCCTCGTGTTAGACCTCACTTAGACCCCAGGATCTGGGTCAGATTACATGTATACAACTTGTTGAGGCATCAACCGTGGCCGAGGGAACCTCGTCGTCGAACGAGCAATTCGCAAATCGAATTACGACCCGTCGCCACCCCTTCGACGTCTTACTTCGATCATTCCTTCCGTCGCGATTAAGCGACATTCCTGCGATCCCTGCGCGTTGTTTCGCGCGCCGCTGACATCGAGGGATCGTAATCAGACGCTGGAATCGAGGAAGGCTCGAGTCGATCGATTCGCCTCATCGTTATAATCGAGTTTCTGTTCTTAGTTTCTCAGGCTTTGAGTGGGGGGGGGGGGG